CGCTTATGCTTATCTATGATTTCTTTCTTAATTTCAACGACCATGGCTTCCTTTTCTTTGCAGCACTATCTGAGGCAACAATCTTCTTGGGAGGCATTGTGAAATAATTATTTTCGCGTTAACTCACAAGTGCACAAACACATAGATCAAAGAACACGGAGTGATCTGAGGAGGGGACTCCCTGAGTAGAGCTGAATTGGGAAATGGCACCACGCATACCAACAACCTGGCTCTTTGCTCATTTCTCGAGTCAATGTTTGTATTTAGAGATGAATTTTTCACTCATAATTTCCTTGTATCTGGAATTTCTTGTATGTAGAGGTGCTCATATCTCGAAGTTCTACTGTAATTATATTTACGCTAACATTTTATTATAAATGTATTTCAGTGTCCATAACTCCCAAGTATTTCAAATGCACTAACAATCATTTTTGGTATTTATATACTCTTTTCGTATAATTAAAAAAATACTTTATTTGGACTTAACTAATTTTGTGATACAATTGATTGCTGCAGAGAATGTTGATTTAGTATGTAAATATGGAATAGCAAGTTTTCCTAGTTTGACAGAAACTTAGTTTGAAATTTACTGGGAGAACAACTCCAGTTAGTTAAGCAGATTTTTGTGTTTTCAGTTGGTACCATAATTAATTTACTCTCAACACAGCCAATGCTCACTACATGGTTAGTCTAGAATTTTCTTAAAAGACACCTGGGAAACCTGGTAAAGTGAGGGAATTTCTTTCTCCTGTTTGTTACATTTTTAGAACCATGACATTGCTTACAAATACTTCAAGGCTTGGTAGTCTATTTTACAGCTTTTTATTTGCTCACTATAAATTCAGAAATTCTTCAGGTTCTGAAACAGCAATGAAATTAATCTTCTGTCATAGACTACTTTGTTAAAATAAAAGCTAAACTTAGAGAGAAATGTAACCTTTGAATGCTATATAACGTCTTGGTATAATAATTTTTATCCACTGTATAACTAAGTTTTTAGAAAAATTATGGAAAGGGAAAACGTAGTCATTGTTAAATTAAATCTGCAATACCAGTTCACCAAAGTAGCCATAAAAAATTATGGTAAGATTTTTCATCCCATTAGACTTTTAAACTAAGTATTACAACAAACATGAAATCCAAAATAAAGATACTTTAACCCCTCAGTTTGATGGTTATACAAACTGGAATTAAACAAAGCATTCTATAGCTTGGTAGAATGTCTTTTGAGCACAGAGTAAATTGAAAGGAATTCACAGTATGAACAGAACCTAATTTTAAACCTTGGCTTACCCTAACAAATCACAGCAAGCAAATTTACATCTAATATAAACATCTGAAGTTCAAATTAAAATGTAAAATGAAACTGATAAATTTTGATATTAAACTTTATATCAAAATTTATCATAGTTTATATTTTATATTATATTTATATTTTTAACATATTATATTTATATTTTTAACATATTTTATATTTTTAACTAATTTATATTCTAGTGGAGGGTCATTGAAGTAGAATTATATAGAAAGGCTCAATTAAAAAAAACTTACAGTGTAAGTTTTTTTGGGGGGATGGGCATATGGATGTGTGAAGATAATATAAAACAGTTATTGCATTAATTATTTGATTTTTTATAGTTCTGGCATTTTTGTATGAGGATGTTAGTGTGATATTTTTTATGTCTTCTTAGTCTGCAAGCTATAAAACATTACATTAGTACTTCAGTCTTTGTGGTATCCATTCTTGAATTTGAATATACCGGGTGGTCATAATTAAACTGACAGTGCTTACAGTGTTCTGTAGCGCAATCTATTTGCGAGAATGACGCCACATTTTGTAGGAAGATTAAACAAGACGGAGGACGAAGGATACCATGAAAAAACAAATTAGTTCTAAAAGTCACCGCTAGGGGAATATTTGGCACTGTGTAATAGAAAATAGAGTGCAAATCAATACGGAAATTACCTTTTATTTTGCATTCAAATGGGGTTCAATGTGGCTACCGTTGTTGTGGACCACATATTGCATTCTGTGCACAGTATGCACAACAGCAGAAAGTAACATGTCTGCAGGAATCTCACGTACATGGGGTAAGATCAGGCGACCGAGGTGGCCATGCAGTTGCAAAGTAGCGGCTAATGAGTCATTCTGTTGTGAATTTCTGTCGTAGCATCTGTTGCACCCATACAGCAACGTGTGGACAGGCTCCATTTTGCATGAAAATGATTTCCCCCAGGCATTGTCTTTGCTGAAGTGCCGGAATGACAAAGCTGTTCAACATGTGGTCATATTTCTCTCCGGTAACAAAACAGGTTTTCGGGCATGTCGGGGTAATGTTCTCATAGAAGAATGGATCTACGATAAATTCCGCTGTGAACCCACACCAAACAGTTAGTTACCTTTGGTGAATGTAAGGGAATTGCTGTGACTGCATGTGGTGATTTGTCATCCCAAATTCGGCAGTTCTGGGTATTCACAGTTCCATTTAGGTAAAAGTGGGCTTCGTCTCCCCATAAGATTTTCCATGGCTAGGCATCATCCACCTCCATTCTGGCAAGAAAGGTGAGAGCAAAAGTCAATTGCTTATCATGGTGGGGGACAGTAACTCCTGTACCCGGCTGATCTTGTACGGATAGAAGTTGATAATCTTTCGTAAAATTTTCCATGTCGTACTGTAAGGCATATCCATATTCCGAGCTACTCCTCGAGCGCTAGAGGTAGCAGCAATATTATCTGGTCCTCTGTCGACAATCGCCATGGCTACTACTTCGATTGTATCCCGTGGTACAGGTTTTCGTCCTCTGCCTGACTGAACCTTCAGAGAACCTGTTTTCTCAAATGTTGCAACCATTGCTTTTAGCCCATTAACTGACACAAGACCGTTACCTTTACGCATTTTTTTGTGCGTTCTAAGAGCACAAAGAGCGGCTGACGCGTTGCACTTGTTGAGGTAAAAGAATTTGACCAGTAACGCACGCTCGACTAAAGATGGAGACATTGCACATAAACTTTCAATCCGATTGATTCAAAACATAACACATTGCCTTTTAAAACCCAAGCAGCTGGCACTGTGCGAATTGCCTTCTTCATCTGAAGTTTGAATAAAGAACTTCTTCTTTTGCTCAGCGTACGTCATATTGCCGATCATGAGCTTTTATCGGTGTTTATGTAGAGTTTACGCTTTTTTAAAAGTGTTGCCATATTGCACTTGAACTAAATCAGAAAATATGCATAATAAAAGGTAATTTTATTCTGTATTAATTTGCATTTCTTAACACTCTATTTTCTATTACACAGCGTGACTTTTGGAACTACGTAGCGTGTTCGGAAACTAAGTACCGTTTCATTCTAGCGCTGTGGTAGGCGTCCCGCACATGCGCACTAGTCTTTCTTGTTCACTGACTTTCATTTGTCGCCATTTTGGCTGCTCTATGTTGTGTTTTCAGTTTGCTGTGCACATTCAAAATGTTTAAGACAATTAGTTCTCCCGCTGACTGTGAGATTCATGCCGTGATTAAATTTTTGAATGCGAGGAATGTAAACCAGCCAAAATTTATCATCAAGTGACAGAAGTTTACGGTGAATACTCGATAAGTGATGGAATGGTGAGAAAGTGGGTAAAAATGTTTAATGCAGGTCGAACAAATGTCCACGCCGAGGCTCGGAGTGGTCGGCCTTCTGTTGTCACCGATGATTTGGTAAGGAAAGTTGATGAAGCAATTCATAAGAACAGACGCTTCACAATGACAACTCTTTCAGAGGCATTTCCACAAATTTCACGTACTGGTTTGTTGGAAATTGTGTCTGACCGCTTGAATTATCGCAAACTGTGTTCCTGATGGGTTCCAAAAATGCTCACTGATGTTCACAAAACAAAGCGATTTGGTAGTGCCCTGACATTTCTCACGCGGTACAGTGATGAGGGAGAAAAACTTTTTAAACAAAATTGTGACAGGTGATGAAACTTGGGTGTATCATTTCACACCAGAATCGAAACAACAATCGATGGAGTGGAGACACACTCATTCTCCGAAAAAAAACAAAAGTTCAAAGTGACAATGTCATCACAAAAAATCATGTGCACTGTCTTCTGGGATAGGAAAGGAAGGCGTTTTGCTTACTGAATTTCTTCCCAGAGGTGAAACCATTAATGTGGCACCATATTGTGAGACTTTAACAAAACTAAGGCGTGCCATTCAAAACAAACGAAGAGGAATGCTCAGTAAAGGAATTGTGTTGCTCCATGACAATGCTCGGCCCCATACTGCTGGTGTCACTCAATCGTTAATTCAACAGTTTCATTGGGAGCAGTTCGATCCCCCGTCGTACAGCCCGGACTTGGTACCGTCCGACTATCATTTATTCCTGCACATGAAGCGTGAGCTTGGTGGCAAGCGCTTTGGATCTGACGATGACACGAAAAATGCTGTGGAGTCGTGGTTATCGAAACTGGCAGGAAGTTTCTTTGACGATGGTATACAAAAACTGGCCACCCGCTATGACAAGTGTTTGATTATTGGCGGAAACTATGTTGAAAAATAGTTTAAGATATGTATTTTCATATAAAAATAAAATTTGATTCGAAAAAATTGTTTTACTACTTCCCCCCCCCCAAAAAACGGTACTTAGTATCCGAATACGCCTCGTAATTTGTTTTTTCGCGGAATCCTTTGTCCCCCGTCTTGTTTAATCTTCCTACAAAATGTGGCGTCATTCTCGCAAATAGATTGCGCTACAGAACACTGTGAGCACTGTCAGTTTAATTATGGCCACCTGGTATATAGAAATTTAAGCTTTTGCCTTCTTCATCTGTAATTTTTGTAAGGTATTATATGGAGCACTTATTCCAAACTCCATTCAATATATTTTGTGTCAGTTTACTTTTCCTCTATCAATATTTTAATAAATGAATCAGTTTATCTTCCAGATAATTCTTTTCTGTAAAATCATGACTGCTATTAATGGAAACAATAAATTAATGTATAACTTTTTTCTATAGATAAAAATTGAGCTTAGCTTACCACATGTAGCAGCTGATGATATACAATGGGACCATCCAGTTTCTAATTATGAAGATGACAGCAAAACGTATTTAGAGAAGATACAAAGTGAAAGCATGGAAACAGATGATAAAAGTTACCTGCAGCCTGATCCACTGTCAGGTTTTGAAACTACTGGGTTGGTATTTATTGTTAAATTATGCTGTAAATTTGCTTTAGGTTGAAGATTTTGTGACAGTAGTAGAACTAAGTATGTCTAAATTTGTCAGTCCTCCTTCCTTACAAGTTAAAAATAGTATATCAGTTACTTCTGTATATAGTGTCATAACTGCCAACTCTCCCAGTTTAACCCGGTAACTCCCATTTTTTCCGTCACATCTCATATCTCCCAGTTTTTAAATCAAATGAAATTTATTGAATTTTGGAGCTTAAGTTGTGGAAATTTCATATTTCCATTTCTAGTGATCTTCTGCATATTTTTTCTAATTAGATTTTATTGGATCTTAATTGTCTTAATCTACTATAGACAGTTACAAAACTTTATACTATGAAGGTGCAAATGATGTTTAATCAGTAAATATTTGTATTTAATTTTATTTTACATTAGCATATGGTACATTAATAAGTTTATTTACACAATAGTATGTATAATAATTATTGATTTTACGAGGGTAGGAACTTTTAATAGTGGCAACTATTTATTTACAAGGAATACAAAAGTGATTCATGTCACCATGTTTTACAGTCCTACAATATAGTCGTCAGCATTGTGTACAACCCATTTCCAACGATGTGAAAGTTGCAGAATACCTGTAGCAGCGCCTATTTTGTTGATAGTTTGAATGGACCGGTCTACTGCCGCAAGAATCTCAGGAACAGTTTGGAAGCGAGTGCCACGAAGTGGCTCCTTCATCTTAGGAATTAAGTCATAGTCACAAGGGCTTAGATCTGAGGAGTATGGTGGATGGTAAAGCACTTCCCAGCCCCATCACTTGAACAAATCAGTAACAGCTTGCGCTGCATGCGGCCGAGCATTGTCATGCAAAATGAGAGGAGCATTCTGCAGAAAGTGTCGCCGTTTTTATCTCAAAGCTGGTCGGAGATTGTGCTCCAAAAATGAGCAGTAATACTGCGCAGTGACGGTCTGCTGTGGGGAAACGGTATGTGTTAGGATGACACCATCACAGTCTTACATGAGAATCACCATAACTTTCACATTGCTGGGGTTCTGACGAAATTTCGAACGTCATGGTGACCCGTGATGACGCCATTCATTTGATTGGTGTTTCAGTTCTGGCTGGTACGATCGGGCCCAGGTCTCATCCAGCATAATGATACTGCATAAAAAAGCATCTCCTTCGCGCTCATAGCGCTCCAGTTGGGTTCGGGCAGCATCGTATCGTAGCCATTTCTGCATTTCCGTCAATTGATGTGGAACCCATCGTGAAGCAATTTTTCTCATGGACAGGCATTCCTTCAGAATGTGCAGCACAGTCATATGCGCTAATCCTGTTTGTCCGGCCACCTGACGAATCGTTTGGAGGTGATCACTGTCCATTAGTGCGGCAACAGCTTGCATGTCTGCATCGCTGACACTCGGACGACCTGGCCTCAGCATGTCTGCCACGTTTTGGCATCCATCATTGAATACTTTCACCCATCTTGCTACAGTTCTGTAAAGCAATGCAGATTCCCCACAAGCCTCTTGAAGCCCTTGATGATACTGTCGTGCTGTACGACCTCTGGCACATTCAATTTTTATTCAACATCGTTGTTCTTGTTTTGAAAACATCCTTACTTTAGACCGCGAGCTAATACAAGGATCCGTTCTTCGTGTCAGTCCGCATGTGTGTAACATAGGCAGGACGAGTCTTTTTGCTGAGAGGTAAGGTAGGTATGTAGTTCACGTGCGGTATACGCGATATTCTTTGGTTTTGTTCGTAGCGTTTTTTCAGCTGTGTTGCCACTATTAAAGTTCCAACCCTCGTATTTTCAGTATTTTTGTAAGTACTATGATAATTTCAAACTTTGCCTACTCAGGATTTTCTCACTTTAATAGTGTAAGAAAATTACGAAAATGGAAATTAGCCAAAGGAAATAAAAATGTAAAGTATCTAATTAAATATCAATGTATTTTGTACTTGTTGAATAACCTGAATCATGCATTATAAAGTGAATTTAAGTCAATTTGGATTCTTTAGAAATGTTGCTGGCCGATAACATGAAAACCTCTAGGAAATCCCCAGTTTTTAATATTTCAAAGTTCGCAGTTGTGTAGTGTATAAAAATCAATTATATTTATTTATCAACATAAAAAATGTCTTTATAGAAGCAACCACTTTCTTGGGAATCATGTACCATGTGAGTGATATTTAGACAGCTGGCATGGAGCTAATTTTCGCAGTGCCGATCAGATTGTCTTTTTAAAAGGCAAAGCAAGTTTCTAGCATCTTTGGTTTCCAGTAACCTTGAAAATCCAGAGACTCGCATGTGCAGTGTATGGTGAACGAAAGTAAATTCCCCCGTTCTCGTATCAAACAAAATCTTTTTTAAACCTTTTCATCTATATTCACCAAAATACTGTCGATTTTTGTAACTCAGTTTTTAATCCTGCAGTAATTAACTTTATTTTAATGTTATTCTTATCATTTAATGTGTCTTCTTCCTTCTAAATTTATTTATTATTAGTTAGAAATACTTTCAAATTTTACGCATTTTTGTCTGGCATACTTGTGAAATTAATTCCAGCAGTAATATGACATACCATTACCAAATTTAGTGGACATATTTTTTACTTATGTATGCTGCTAAATAAATAATAAATACGTGAATTTATTTTAAAATATCATTAAGTAGATTATTTTCTTCCTTTAGCTGCAAAATATCTGCACACATTTTAAATCCCAAGTGGAGAAAACAACTCCTATTTGGGGATTATATATGTGTAAAGTCATATGTATTTGGCATATTTTTGTGTTTTCAAGTGGTACCATAGTTCATTTACCCTCAGCCCAGCCGACACACACTATGCAGATAGCCTGTAATTTTTTTGAAACACATCTGAAAAAAATCAGGGAATTTCCATTTCTTGTTTGAGTGGCAACCCTGTTTCATCCAAGTTTAGTGTGTTTTCCTTCAAAAATAATCTGTTTTCTTTTAGTTCTTACTGTATAGATTTTTACATGCTGATTGATAAAAATTACTGTCCTTTTTCTTGCTTGCATGTAGTTAATGACTGTATTTTGTACTTTTAGTGAATTGGTAATGGATGCAGAAAAGAATATTCCATATGATGTAGTTATGACTGTAGTAGATTTGAATTATGGTGCTTATGGAATATATAATTTCTATAAAATGCAGGTATGTGTTTTCCCTTCTAAATTTAGTTTTAATAAAAATTAATGATCTTATGTACATTATTTTATTTCAGTACTCGTACCTTTTTTTGTTGTGAGAGAGAGAGAGAATGAGATTTTAAATTCAGCGTTATACGTTTGTAGTGTATTTCTTTAATGAAAATTCTAAATCTCTGATTGTAGCTAAAATTTACTTTTTGCCTGTGTGCCACTTTTTTACATTGAGTTTGAATAGTGGTTACCAAAGAATGTAATTCATTTTACTGATTTTTAAAATATTGAACTTGAAATTTTAAAATATAGCCATAAAGGTCTTGCTGAGCAAAGTCGCTGAACATTGTTTTAGAGAATAGGAATTTAGGACATTTAGTTTCAGACAACAAGAACGATTAATGAAATTTTAAATGATTTGCCTCATTATTTTCCATATATCATTCTGATTCAAATAATAATTTAAGCTTCAGGAGGACCGAGAACTAAATCAGCTTTTTATAAAACAAGTCAAATTCCTTTTAGTTTTTATCCTCTCCTCAGAATTCTTTGGCAAATGACAATAGATTTGCAATTAAATATTGTTTTACTCAATTCTATGATGATATAATTAAAAAAATATAAGTGATAGTAACAGTTGTTATGAAATTCAGTTGGGTAAAAGTATAGTTTAGGGTACCCCTTGGAGATTTTTGGTGGTACATGGATACTGATTTTGTGTAATTCTTTGACTCGTTATTTTGGCTTGCGAAGCGGCGATTTTTTGCACCAAAAATCGGCGTTACACAAATCCAAAATAACAAGGCAAACAATTGCACAAACTCGGTATCCATGTACACATCGATTTATTTTCACTTAAAAAAAATCCCCAAATTGCACAAAAATAGCATTGTGCAGTCCTTTGACTTTATCCATGTACATGTCGACCTATTTTCATTTTAAAAAAAATCCTCGAATTGCACAAACTTGCATTGCGCACTCCCTTTACTTTGTCCATGTACACATCGATATATTTTCACTTAAAAAGTCAAAGAAGCATTAAATTCTACAATATAGGCAAACAAAAAATATACATAATCTCAATAACATAAGGAAAAACATGTTATACATTTAAGCACTACCAAAAGTAAATATTAACTTATCATGATTTTCGAGTTCGCTTCGTACACCCAGAGCCACGTAAAAATCAAAATATCAATCATACTCAAATGACTTTTTTCAAACCAGGTACTCTTTCTGATTGAAATCTTCACATAGGGACCATCTGAACCTTTCTTCCTACAAACCCATTCAAATCCATCTAAACGGTTTTTATGTTTGACTAGACGCATATCCTTCCTACATACAGGACACTTATAATGGCTACTAAGTAAACCTTCATTTACACACCAGTTAAATAAAGCTCTTTTCCCCTTTCGCTCCAAATCGTACAGAAACTTCAAATTAATCTTACTACATTCGGCCATTCTACCGTCTAAAGAATCAAACCAACACACACCACAAAAACGCTTACGAAACATCCCATGATTCAAAATTTCCCAGAATCATGCACCCGATTACGTCACATTAGGTTTTCCATAACATTCAACTACTGAGGCTACCATAAATGAAATAGCAACTTGGCGATAAATCAAAACAACAACTTCGCCATAATACAAGGGGTACCTTAAAGTCTACTCTACCCTTCAGTTGAAATGTCATAAATCTTTAAAAGATTTATTTTGCTTTCCTACTTTTCTAGAATTTTTGGTTTAATATGAAACTCAGCTTTATCTTAAATGATACCCTTCAAGTTTTTAAAATTATTAAATAATTTTTAAATCATTGAAATATACTTTTATAACTAGGAGGATTTTATATTGCCTTGCCTACAATGTTTTGGATGTAAACTTATTTTCATACGCTAACATTTACGGGAAGACTAATTTAAATTAGTTACAAGGTAGTGTATAGCCGACTAAGCAACAGGGTACTATTTAGGAAAATTCCATTTTTTAAGTGTTCATTTATTAGTGTCACCAAATTCTGTATTTTAACACATTTTAAATGATAACATTTCCTTTCCAAATAAATTATTTATCTTTGAGTTTAAAATTTAGCTGTATTTTCTTCTTAGTTATTGATTGCATATATTTGCATGTGTTTGTAGCTTTACTGATTCCATGTATTATCATTGTTTATCATCTTTGAAATATGTTTTGAATCTTATCCCTGATAGTAAAAGGATATATTCTCTACTTTTGTGTGTTTTCTAGCTTATTAAACATAAAGGTAAAGATCTCTATATTCTGTTTACATGCTGGGGTCGAGTTGGAGATACTGGGCAGTATCAGAAGACCCCTTATAGTACACTAAACGAAGCAGTAAAAGAATTCAGCCGAATATTCCGTGCTAAATCTGGGAATAACTGGGATGATGTCAAGAAGTAAGATATTTTTCAAATAAATTAGATAATATGTATTAATAAATTATTGCTTCTTTACAATGTGTAAGCCATATTTTATGTATACATACATAAGCCATTTTTTAATGAAAGCAGTGCAGGTGAATTTTTCTATGTCTAAAATAGTGTAATGATCCTTTCTGCCATTGTAGCAGGCTTAGAATCTGGTAAGCATTTATAGTAAAATTTTCAGAGTTATCAGAAATAAAGCATAATAGAATCACTTAGTCATAAACAAGGTGAAATTACCCTAACATAATGAAAATCAATACCACATTAATAAGGGAAAATAGTAATAATTATAACCTGAAGTTTCAAGTTTTTCCAGTTTCAAATTTGTATGGCCTATAATACATGAAGATGGCAGTAATTATGAGGGGAAATAATTATGTCCAGATGCTTGCAACTTAGCAGAAATGCAGGAGTAATGAGAGTAATCTAGTTAAATAGGAGACTTGAGGGAAGTATTACAAATTTAAAATGGGATTTTATTATAATATTCTCTATTTTGCATATTCCTGTTTGAAATAAAAGTTTTGATTTGCTGTATTTAGAGTATATTATTATAAGGGACACCACAAATAAATAAATGATGTAGAAACTAAACATATTATTACAATATAGTAGATGAATGCATTGTGTGATAATTATAACATTTGTTATATAAAATAGCTCAAAGATTAATGCTGACTTAAAAATTAATAATCAAATGTATCCCTTTTTTTTTTTTTTTTTTTTTTTTTTAGATGATCAGAATCATTGATTTTTATTTTTCTTTCCAATGCAATTATAATCCAAATTATGCAATTATTATATGAAAAATGCATTATATAATTAATTTTCAAATCAGTTAGCCTCAAGAAGCATTAGATATTTTGGAGTTTATATATGAAGCTTTTATTTTATAGTGTTCTTGACATTTTTCGCCCAAGCATTTCACACATATAGTTTTTGATTTTCTGTCTTTTTCCCTTGAACACATGCAACATATCCGATAACATAATTCTCTTTTCTTTGTTTGTGATTCATCAAGAGAATCTTTGCTATGTTCCTTCTGTTTCTGCTGTGATTTCAAATGAGAATTTAAAAGTGCAAAAGTCAAATCCTTCAAGAAATGCTTTCTTTTATTGAACTTCTGTGTTGGAGTTTTAGTAGACAAAAGCAAGATCCTTGAATTTATATCGACAATATTTAAAAGCGAAAAAAACATTACCATAGGCCATTGATTTGATATTCTGGCCATAGAATACCTTTTGTCATGTTATAAAATGTAATTCAGATTTTTTCAAATCTCTTGTGCTTTCATTGATATGCGTAGTTGACAAAAGGTTATTGACTGGAGTATTATGCACAGTCAAAAGTTTTTAATCCGGACGTCCATAATCCGGAATAATCTATAATCCGGACCTCAAAGCTACAAACTTTCTGTGCATGCGTAAAAGCATGCGACGTAATGCGTTTACACATGCGGGTTTAATGTATAACGGACGTTATAAGCTAAGGTAAAATTATCTAATTATCTATTTCAGTTAATGTAGCAGATTGCGTTGTTCCTTAATCTTCTAATTGGATCCAGCTTATTATTTTTTTCAGACTGCTAGAGTAATTTATAAAAGTAAGCTTGAACTTTCGATTATGTCGAAAAGAATTTCTGATTCTGGAGCTGCAAAAGGATCTACAAAGTGAAAGCATGTTTCGATATCCATCAAACAAAAAGTGGAATTGCTGCAAAAAATGGATAAATGCGTATCCTTTGTTTCTCTAACCATATTGAAATCTGTTTATCAACTTCACGCTGCTCTCCAGAATGGGGGGGGACGTAGCGGAGCACAATGAATTGGAAGTTGATCTGTCAGCACTATCCTTATATTCAGAGCAGATGTTTTTATTTTATTCGGCCTATAATTCCTTAGTAAATGCAGTATTTCATCTCGATATACTCCATTTTTGATACGATTTAAATCAAATTCCTGTCATAATAAATATCATGAATACACATCAAATAGTTTTCTGGTTGCAATTTTCTAATTTCGACTATGCGTAATGTATGCTTTATGCATGTTCGTGTTGAAAGGAATAATTAATGAAGTAAACAAATAAATATTAATCTTTTTTTTTTTTTTTAATTTTGATACCCTTTAGATCATACTTGCTCTTTATTTCATAAATTATGCTTTCATATTTTAATTTTTATAATTTCTGCATGCCATCTTACCAGATTTAAACTGATGATCTATAATCCGTAAAAACCGATAATCCAAAATTGCTGAAGTCTCGACGAGTCCGGATTGAAGACTTTTGACTGTATTAGTGCAACCCCTCATGAGCATTATATAAAAATTTATTTTCCTTGGTTAAATGATATACATTTGTTCTTTTTTGCCAAGAAAGAAAGTAGAATTATATCCTTTTGAAACCCGAAGAAAGTTGTATGCTGTTCTCTATTCTTATTCAACACAAATTCAGTTGGGATTGTCGTCTTGTCCTCACATATTGTTCCAGGGATATAAATTTTATTTTTCTGTAAGAAATAGGCCAATTTGTAACTGATATACAATACAATTTGTAACAGATACCAATTGTCTGTGGTAATATTTGTTCCAGATTTGTATAATAGAGCTAGCATGTGCTTTGCTATTTCACAAGAACTTCTGGTTTTCTTCTATGGCTCATCTGGTTTCTGACATATGTAAATTCTCATGTTAAAAGTATAGAAGGTTCTAGAATCCACCGCAGTAAATATCTATATACCATATCTTTCAGGTTTCTTAAACATATATGGCCGAAAGGAGCATTGTCCTCGAAAGCTTTTTGTTTAAAGACACAAATTCACCTGCATGATGCAATTTCTGACAATTCTTCACGGAATTTTCAAACAAATCTCTTTTAACATTCTTTCATTTTTCATCCCATGTTCTGATATCATCGAATCGTAAGACATGAGGAATGAAAAGAAAACACAAGAGTTTTGCAAAAAATATCCAAGCCCATAAATCTCTAACTTTGACACGAGAAGATCTGTGCAATCTAGCTATGTATAAGAGTCCTCAAAAAGCTAGAAACTCTCCCCCCGTGTAAGTTTCGCTTTTCTCTCTTTTCAAATATCCTGAAGTAATTTTTACATAAATATTAGAGCACTTTGCAATCACTTTGTCATGAAATATTAGGTTCCAAGCATTGATGGGTGAAGCCATATCTTTGGATATATGTGTATTTCCAGGAATTTTTTTTATGATATTCGAGATGTCATGCATCTTTGATCTCAAAAGGGTTCTTTCTGCCACTTCATAGTTTTATCTTTTCCAATACAGTCAGTTAGCAAGGGAAGTCTTCTTCTGTTAGACTGGTAATCACTAAATATATCTTCATTATCTGAATCTTCTAATTTTTCTCCTATAAAATCGTCGTCTGACAAAACCTCCTCTAATAATTTTGGAAGTCTTTTCATTTCTTGATCATACATTAAATGAAGAAAAGACTGAATAATGAGACTTGAACATGAAATGGCTTACACTGAAAAATAAAAACACAAAAGCACATGTGGGTGTCAGCATGACCCAAACAGTTCTGTAAACCATAATAAGCATTTAGAATTTGCTATATCCACTTGAGACATGTAGAACATAACTATGAAAGCAGTTATATATAGATCTAACCATCTTGGATTACTGGGGAAGATTGCAGATGAATTGTTTTGTGCGTGGTGTGGCGAAATACCCCCGCATGTCTTCTTGCGTTAAATGATATAGGGATGCTGGCAGTTGAACAAAGTGGAAAAATTCATATATAGGATCAATCAGTTAAAAACCCAAATAAAAAAAAAATCATACTTTTTCAGGTAAAATTAACAGTGGAAGGAGACAGTTTTCAATGTATGCAATTTATATGATGTAAAAGGATCGTAATAACACATTTTATGATAATGCTCTTTCAGTGAACTTCAAAGGAAATTTTTAATTTTGATTTCTGCGGTACAATTACTATATTTTTTGCAGAATTCCCAATATACGAAAATTTAGACAAGCTTTTTATTTTTAAATTTTTAAATGTGGATGTTGAAAAATCTGCTTAAAACTGTTAAATTAGTTTGTATATAAATTTTAAGTATTTTCTTACTCTTGGTGTCATACAACTATTATTTTTGCAATATTCTTGAGGTGTAGTAATTGATTAATGCATGTTTATGCATTATGACACAGAAAAGCAGTATACTGTTAGCAATTCACTGTAACATGTTACTCTAAACCACGAGTGCTGGGTCCAGTGGGCCCATGCTATTAAACAAACGTTTCTCAAAACGCACCTATTTCACATAAGTTAAGGTCCAGTGTCTGAAGTTGCCCTCTTTATGTTTTCAAAGTTTTTTCTGTATGGCTTTGATTCAGAGTCTTGATTTTGATCAGATTGGGTCTTTTAGGCCCAGAGTGCCTATTGGTATTACTGTTATATAGTTGATTTGTGATAGTATGGAAAGTGGCAAATATGTCGCCTAATTTATCTTACAAGGAAGAATTGTTGTAAAAGTTATTTGATATATCAGTTGGTGAAGAATGTATTGAAGAAAATAAGGATGGAAGTGATCATGAATTTTTAGTTCACATGATACTCATTCAGAAATTAGAATATAGTCAAAGTTGCGTTAAGAAAGTACGATAGTACAAGTAAGTTAAAAAATAGCACTAAGTGCTGCTTAATTTTAAATGAATAAAGAAGTCGAGATGATAATCCAACTAAGCAGTAAGAATATCTGGATTCTACCTAGCTTTGTTTCCGAAATACATCGTAATTGAAAGGTATAATTAACAATAGCTAAGAGTGAACAAAAATGTTTTCAGTGCTAAAAAGTAGGCAAACAAAAATGGTAAACAAGTAGCATCAACACATAGGTTAATCTCTTTAGTTTAGAGCTTCAAAACAGGACTTGTCAAGGGAAAAGTGTTTTGAAGCTTCAAACGATGTTGATTATCTAGACCAGCTAAAACAAGTTTCGTTTTGACTAATTTAAAGCTTCAAAACACTTTTTTCCCTTGACAAGTTCTGTTTTGAAGCTCTAAACAAAAGAGATTAATCTATGTGTTGATGCTACTTGTTTACCATTTTTGTTGTTCTACTTTTTAGTACTTAAAACAATTTTGTTCACTTTTAATTATTGTTTAGTACCTTTCAGTTATGAGGTATTTCAGAAACAAAGCTAGGTAGAATCCAGATATTCTTACTTTAGTTGGATTATCATCTTGACTTTTTTATTTATTCATAAACTGATATAGATTTTGTAAATGAGAGAGAGAGAATGGCATAAATTGCTTTTAAAAAAAATCTTTTTAATGAGAAAAAAAAAAAGAAAAAGAAACCTTCTGTGTTTGCCCAGTGAAAAAGCACAGAAAAAAGAAAACTTGCTGCGCTGAATGTGAAAAATATTTGTATTTTGAACACACGACAGCACTTTGTTCAATGTACTGCCAACATTTGTTGTTGCATTTTTTCTCTATAGTGCTAATAAAGAAAATAAAGAACAGATATATAGTAAATGTATACTATTTTTTCCCTGTATGCTGATATATAATACGATTTTCAATTACTTTAAGAAATTTATTTCATAAAAGCATGTAAAGGAACTAAAAATTTTAATGTGATTATTTTTTAAGTTTGATCATAAAATTTATTATTGACATAGATAGAACACTTTTTCTGGAAATTTACAACTTTTTTTTTTCAAAAAACACAAATTGGGTCTTTTAAACCCAGTGCGTGGGCTTCTGGGTTAATTTGTATTGAATTGTTAAATTTTAACTAGTGCTTGCCAATTAAGCATTTTGCTTTTAGTTTTCAGCCACAACCAAAGAAGTATCGCTTAGTGGAACTTGATAAGAAACGCCATGCCATAAAATGCAGTGTGAAATTGAATTTGAAATCTGAAGAACAGTCAAAATTGAGTACATCATTGCAAAGCTTAATGGAAACTTTGGTAAGCATAACAAAGAATATCAAATATTTAAGTATCTTAATTTTTTAAATTATGAGATTTAAAATATATTTTATTTTAATGTGGTTTATATATATCTCTCTCTCTTTTTTAAATGAAAGTGGCAAATTTATATTGTGCATATTCCAATGTAAAAAATCATTGAATCTTAGTAATATGATAATGTAAAAAAAATTAATAATATGATAGTGAAAGAAAAATCACTTAAGATCTTGGGGGGGGGGGTGTTTAGCATTTGCAGTTTAAAAACTTAGCAAAAATATCAGATTTATTTGTATTTTGTTTTCATTTCTAAATAACAAATGGAATTTATGTTTTTCCTATTTGCTTCATTTCATTAATGTCATGACTCATAGAATTTCATTGCATGAGAACTATGATTTGATTTTCTAGAATGTTAATATGGTATATACAATTCTGTTAATGCGTGGAATGTAATTTCAGTTTTAGTCATTTCATTTCTTTTAGAAGTATGCTTTTGTTATAGGTTAAATGCTGAGTAATTACTAGTGTATCTTCATATTAAAAAGAAAAGAATGAAAAATTAATATATGCAGATAGTAATAAAATGTATTTTGTTACTGCCCTACCAACTGCAGGTAGAACCAAAAAATAACTTTTACTTGCTTTACTAAAGCAGAAAGGAATTTTAGATTTCTAAGAATTCAAATACAGTCAGTCTGCAGTGAAAAAAATCTGTACACCTAAAAAATGTCATGGATTATAGTGAAACTTGTTGAGGTCATATGGGCAGACATTAAAGAAAAAACAAGAACTGTTGTAGAGTCAGAAAAATCATTTATAGCAGCAGAGGGAGAACTGCTATGTTGTGAAGAAAATCTGTAGTTATGGGGCGAGTGAGCTTTAAAAAATTCCCCACCCAGCAGTATGAGTATTACAACTGGATGTGGGAAATCATCAGTGTAATGTTGACTGGTTAGGGTTATGTGCAAGATGAATACAGCTGACCACTTGTCCATTCACAACAGCACTCCAAATGGTATTGATTGACATGATTGAAGTAAGTCACTTCATACCTGGCTGCCTTCACACGTAGATGCTGTGGTCGTCTGAACTAAGCAGAAACCTGGATTCCACACTGAAAATTATATGACATCAGTCCTCTGCATTCCATCCGGCATGGCACTAGAACAAACATTGTTGACAGAAAGCGGGCATTATAGTAGACATTGTAAGGAGCACTTAACAATGCAGTTCATCCCCTGCCAATCATCATCCAGTGGTTCTTCCTGACAACTTCTTGGCAATTTTGATTCTACGGCTCAAATTATACCTGAATATTTAATTTTGTAAAATTTGGTGTGAAATTTATGGAGAAATTCAAAAATTTTTGTTTGCACTTTCTTTTTAGTTTGTGTCAAGAATAGTTCACTTGGTGAACTTCTTAATATATGGCAACCTATTTTCCTTTCCTTTTTACTTTGTGCGTGAGAGGAAAAAAATCACATCGTTCCTTCTTTCAAATAATGTTCTTTATATTATATTTTTAATTATAATTGTTATAAACTTTAAGCAATTTCTTTCTTTTTCGAATTTATTTTAATTGTTTACGTTGCATGGTTTCTTTCGATTAACTGTTTTAAAAATTTCTATTTACTCATTCAAACTGCGTAGTTTAAATCAAAGGTGCATCGTTTATTTATATATTTTTTTTTTTTTCAAATAGTTTTCTTTATACTATATTTTTAGTCATAGTTACTATTTTAGTTAATTTTTAAATTTTTAGACTTTTGTTTTAATTGTTAGTGTTGCATTGTCTCTTCAGATAATTATTTTAAAATTTTCTATTTATTCATTCGAACTTTAAATATATTTATTAATATAAATTTTCCAGAATTTAATTTTATTTATTTGAATTGTGTTTCTTTCGGAAGAATACTTTGTAACCCCGACTATGATGCATTTGAAAACTGCATATATTAAAAGAGAAATTACAGTAAAGCACAGTTAACACGCCTTTCAATGTTCCGTTCAGAAAAGAAATATATAAATAAGAGAGATGTTAACCAATATTTTAACTTATGATGACTTGCGTAGATTAGTTTAAACAGTGTTTTTCATTGTGCCTATTGCTTTCCACAATTTTATCATACTGCATTGAATTTCTTAAAATGTTATTCATATTTTAGTCAAATATTTTATTTTGAAATCCCAAGAATCAACTAGCATAAAATTAAAAATTTTTAAATTAAAAAAAATACTAAATTTTATGCAAAAACTTCTTTTTTCTTCTTAATGGCCTGTTCTTTTTCTTCAGGCATTCTGCAAGTATATTAAAAAGGATTCAACTTTTCGAAACATCTTCGTATTTCTGGCATTCATTTTAAATAAAGTTATCACCTTCCATTTCATAAGGACCCACAAACTGCCCAGCGGTAAAGTTGCTGAACACTGGTAAGCTCACTCCAGGGTTCAAATCCCGGTAAATGGGCTACTTGCATGGGCGGTTTCGTGGTTTTTCTCATGTGTGATGTGTATACGAGCTTGTTTCCCTTAGAAAGCTTTTCACAAAGACGTCCCTCCTTTTAGGCAGAGAGCCCTGCTTTGCCGCAACTTAGTAATCCAAGTCAGTCCATTTCATCAGTATTTGGTCAGAGCCTTTATCAGTCTCTAGAGGCTGGTCATTTTGAATGCATGAGTTGAAAGGAAAGACTGATTTTATCAAAATGGAAAAGGTCTTTAGATGATATCCTTATATGTCACTGGATAAATTCTTGAATCTTCAAATAATTCGGCTGAGAAATAATGGGATGCTGTGTGTATGGTACAATATGATGTTCTTTGACGAAATTTAAATTTATGCAACCATATAGTCGGAAACCAGCCGACTGCACTTTCTTCTGCAATGATATCGTTTTTGTCTTTTAAGGTAGCACAAACTCAATTGCTGCTCATTGCTGGTGTACACGTAAAAGTGTTTTCTCTTCACCCAAAACTTCTTTGAAGTAGATTCCCCTTTAAATTTTTGCCTTTTCCCCCCTAAATTCATTCTTTCCTTCTACATTTGTTTTCAGTGCTGACACAAAAAAAATTAAAATTTTTCGGTTGTTACACTTCCAAAAATTCTGCATTTTTGTCAATTTTTTTAAAATATCAATTGCATCAAATGCATTTCAGATGAAGATAGCTTTTCATTTTGTAGATATTTTAACTTTCTTTCTTTTCACCATCGACAAAACAGCTGGCCTACTTGGTTAGGTGCTTTTCAGCCTGTTGGTTGTCGATGGAATTAAAAATAAATACATGAATAAATAAAGAGCTTAGTACTGTGTCCTCTGGGAACTGGCCACGAAACGAGGAACATTGAAATAAGGACCAGAACATGGAAAGAAGGTACGTGGTGGGGACTGCTGAGACTAAGCGAAACACTTTTCACTATTATCGTACATGTTAGGCATACAGTTATATTAAGGGTGTGCTATAATAATCAGGTACAGATGTAAAGATGATCAAATACATTACAACTTGTGGAATACATTAAATGACACAAGAAAATTAAAATTAAATGAGTTCTGGATTAATCATAGTATTAAATATAATTAAAAACAGGAAAAAAAAAAAGAAAAAAAAAACACATTTTAACTGTAAATAAAGTCCAAAGGATAAATGTTTGAATTAAAAGACTTTTGTTAAATGAGGAAGAAATAAACCACTCCAGCAGCACTTACCTATATCACCAAGTTAACCGATTATTATATCGGGTGGAAACAATCTAAATCATATTATTTAGAGTTTTTAGCCTAATAATTTCTATATTAAAGAACATGTTTTTTATATACTCTACAACACGAGAGAAAATTACTACTTAAAACATTCTTTCTAAGAGGATTAATGTAAAATTTATATATATATATATTTTAAAACTGGGACATGACCCAACTGTCAGTGCCCTGTTTGCTTAAAAACATTGTGAAAGTAAACAACAAGTGAACTTTCTCAGTTTTAGACAATTCAATTTAAATAAAGTTAACCCTTTGATGTGTGCGACATTATTTTTATAATTTTTTTAAATTAAAAACTCTAGAAATTGAATATTATGATCCTAGAGACAAATAATATATAAATTTTAAAAAAATCTACTCTTGCCCATTGTTCTGTTGGTGGTGGTCGCACTGTGAAACCACCGTGCATCTAGGAGTTTGAAACTTACCGAGGTAAGTAGGGAAAAAAACTTACCTTTCTCCAAGCGCGTTTCCAATAAATGATGAAATTTACAAATTTAAAACAAAATGCATGTAGGAATTGCATAATATATAATATATATCCATATTTACATTATTTTACAAAGTAAATCGTCAAAAAAAATTAAAAAATAAACGTTTGGCTACATGGATTAAAAAAAAAACTCAGTAAAATAAGGATTAAAAAAAAAGACTGTTTTTTTTTTTTTTTTAAATTTTAAAGAACAAATATTTTTTGTGACACTGTTCAAAGCATGTTTTGTCTTTTTGGCACATGCATGCCCACATTGCAAGTTTCACCACATGTATCTTCTATGAGGTTTCTTCCTTGTGCTACAAAATGTACAGTGATTGGATCTAAATTTCACTGGTATATGTCCAGCATTATTTAGTTTCTTTTCATCTGGCACATGAAATTTGTGGTTTTTTATGTTAATGAGGAGGGGCTTGGTCTTTTTGGCTTTGATATTGATAATTCGTTTCCCATTCATACTTATTTTATTCGTATTTCGTTCCAAAATATTCAGAAAATATTTTTAATTTAAATAAAACTTTACATGATTTCTATTTTTAATTACAGCAAAGTATATTTACATTAAATTTAAACCACAGGAAATAATTTATAAAATCACAATACTAGCTTGGGGAGCAAGTGTGTTGAGGTCAGAGAAAAGTCTCTGGAAAAGAAAGCCCTTTTTACTGGGCAGGTGCATGTATTGTATAGTAATAAAATAACTGTGATTTCAAAACTCCTTATCTATATCTGGTAAAAATAAACATTCCTATCTGAGAAGCAAGCAAACGCCATTGTGAATAGCAGTGGTTTCAAGGCGCGACCACCGAGCCTCTAGAGCATTGTGACACAATGCTCTAGTGGTGCAGTGGTCGCGCCCTGAAACCACAAAGCAAATGCCATACATATAGAGGTTTTTTTTTTTTTTTTTTTTCTTCATATATGCAGTTTAATTATTGTTATTTTTTATTGTTTATGATAGAAATCATGATGTGCGATGAATAACTTTTGAAGTTTAAAGTTGTTTATATTAATAGAAGGAAGTTGTTTTGTCTCACTGAAAACGAATTTTAAACGGCATCCGATTTGAAGTACTAAGACCTAAAACGTATGATTCTGCAGTCATTTTGTGTTGTTTAGATGTAAAAGATCAGTAATCAGTTGATTTTCACTCAAAAATTTTGGCAGGAAGAGGAGAAAAAAAATTCGAAAATTGGTGGTTTCAGGGCGCAACCACCGCACGTCAAAGGGTTAAAGTAGCAGATGATAACACCGCGAATTTACTTTTACAAATATTTAAAAAATAAGGAAGAAAGAAAAATTTTTTAAAAAAAGGAAGTTAAACATTTTAATAATATCATCTATAATTTAAAAAAGATAGCTTTTCATATAGTATTAATAAATATTTATTACACATGATTGAGGGGGAAAACATTCATATAATTAATTCTCCATAAAACTTTATTTGAAATTTAAGGTTAAAAATAGCTGTGGCAATACTCTGTAACAAAATCCATAAAACACATTTGGCATTATTTTCGCTTAAAAAAAAAAAAACTTAATTTCAAAATTCGAACATATGTAAATTTGTGTATACCTTTTGAATAAAAAAGCTTTAATTTTTTGCAGGTATGCTTAGAAATACACTTACTTTAAGATGATGGTAAAAATTTTATAGGTTATAATTCAAAATTTTTTCAAAAAATTTATGCAAATTTTTAAAATAAATAAAAAAATGGGTGAACTTTATGTAAAATGAACGTAAATTTTGAAATGTTTAAGGAAGAATCAAAAAAACTAATAAAAAATTAAATATTATTAAATGTATACCAAATTCAATTAACATTGAGGAGCTAAAATTTTGAGAGCTAATTTTTTAAAAACTACTTGTGCAATTTTTATAAAACTTCTGGCATAATTTGAGTCGTAGCATCAAAATATCGAGACATGAAAAACGTAATTTGAATTTCGTCAATCAGCCCAGTAGAATAGGAGATATAGAACTGTCCCCCCCCTTTTTGTGCGCAGTGTACATACGGGATTTAAGACTGTTGAATTTTCACTATATGTACAATTCTGATAAATAAATATTCTATCTTTCCATGAAACTAGGTATTTGACGTATAGTACAGTACTTTCATTGCCCTTTTTGTTTTTTGAGAATGAGTAAAACTTGTGAATCTTTTGCTTCTATGTAGAAAACAGGAAGAACACAGTACATTAGAAATGTACTGGACAGTTAGTCCCTTTCTTCAATCTATGCTGAAAGGGTGACCGGAGTATATAATTTGTCATGTGAACTTGCATATTTATAAATTAATGCTAATTTTGCATTTGCTGCTATGCACAGAATCACATAACCACAGTTGGATCATATTATCTATACTGTAGTTCTGTACATTTAGATTGCCGTTCTTAAAAATTAAATTAGCCAGAGATAGAATTAGCATACAAAATAACATGAAACTAGATCCATGTAATTGTCAGTTGTTCAAGCAAGCAGGCCGTCCACTGAAGCTCTTAATTAAACTAAAAGGAAGCATAATTTTAATCATATGAATTTAATTTTGAGTATTCCTTTCAAATGATGAGATATTAACTTTTAACCTTACATTCAGTATTCTAAAATTTAGATTACTGAATGTAAGATTATTGAAACATAATGATCATAACATTTTTATTTGACATATTTGTTTATTTAGATGGATATTTATACTATTGAAGGAACATTAGGAGACTTAGGTGTGGATGCATGTTTTGATGTCTTGCCATTTGGCTCACTTTCAGAGAGCACTCTGTTAGCTGCTGAGAATCTGTTGAAAGAAATTGGGTACGTTACTTTTTTTTCCATTCAATAAGTATAATTTAATCTACGGATTCTTATCCTTAAGGGCCGTGTAAAAATTATTGAGGGTCACATTTGGAAAACATTGTCAAATTTTACTTTTTGCAAATTCATAGAAAACTGTAGTTGTTATATATATAAATAACATGTAACTAACTGTATTGATATGTATAACTGAGCTAAAAGGTATTTGAAAGCTTACTTCTTAATTTAATCTTTGGTTAGATTATAAAATTTATTTTTAAAGATTTAGGCTGAATTTTACCATAACTGGAAATAGATTTTCGAGCTTAGGCTTCCATTCCTGCTCTGTGCATAGAAAAAACCCTTAATATTTTGTAAGTTTGTGTGAAGCATGGTATCATATCCTGTTCATTTTTATCTTTTTCCTTCATACTTCTTTTAGACCTAAACCAAGAACTAATCTTGAATCCTCTGAAAACAGAAGTAAATTTATTGCAATTTGAAATGAAATAGCATTCAGAAATGACACTAATAAACACAGAACTAAGCCACATACAGAACATTGCTGTGTTGCTAGATTTGTAATCTATAGAGAAAGTAGCATTGGTAATAAATGCTCACTTTGCTTCAGTTTTTCCTCCTCTCTCTAAGCGATCCATTTAGAAAATCCTTTCTCAGGAACATTATATACAAATGATTGATGCAGCAGAAAGATGTTTCAGAAAACAATGGATATGGGAATAAGTAACTTTCTCTGTAGATTCTGTTGAGACCAAAAATGGTGAATGAAATAAATGTGGGAGAATAATCATTACAGGTATAATTTGTATAATGTATCACATTTCAGACCGAGTCAATAGTCTGTACAGTTTCCAAGTACTTCCATTTGTATATTGTGTTTATTTTTGGCAGAATAGTTGTTGTAGATAAGAAGTCGAAGTAGGTAAAGAATAGCATAAATGAAGAGCATTAGAAAGTAATCAAGTACTGGGCCTAATAAGTTATTTGAATTGAAAATAGTATCAGACAGGCTGCTCATCTGTAGTAAGTTGTTACAGTTTCATACTGCTAGCTTTATATTATTTTTCTTATGGCTTTGCGAATTTTTGATTGAAATGTAATGACAACGACAGAAAAAAAAAGATAATGTTCTTCTTAAATAAAATTTCCTGTGTAATAAAATGGCGAAAAATTCCAAATGTCTGTAGATTTCTTGAAGGAAAGGTAAGCAAAAAAAGTTTTCTAATCAAATGTTGTTAGATGCTGAAAGTAAAATTAAGTAAATAAGACAAATTATGAACTTGGGAAAAAACGTATGTCCCAGGATTACCATTGATCTTTAAATAGATTATGATTTTACTGTTAGCTTTCAATGCGTGATTGAATATTGATTATTTAGATCATAAGTGTTAAATCTTTCTAGACTTGCATCCCGTGAATGAATGGGTGATACATATGTGCATTTTAAGCTGAACCATTTTTTAAGGATCACTAGATGGCATTCTTTTCGTCCATTACTTTTGAACTTAACATCATAACCTTCAGTTTGATCACATTCTACATAACTTTGGTGTCAGCTGTTGCAGGTGATTAGGAAAAGCGTAATGTAAACAAACAGCTTGGCTCTTGATACTCCCCACGTGATGTAAATATTTGCGTTTCGGATATGCCTTTTTATCTTTTTAGCCCAAAATTATTATTAATTTCGCTTTGGCATTTTGCGTTGATTAGCTACAAATGTCGGTTCTTTTTTTCAAACTGTTGCCACTAAAAATTAGAGCTCTGCATTATATTTAAAGAAATTAAATAATGAAGAATCTGCATTGAATGTATATATGTTTCTTGCGCTGCAAAAAAAACAACAGCACCTAGGAACATCAAATTTTCAATAAATTGTCCTCCACTAGAATATCGGCATCTGGAAGCCAGAACTTGGAATTGTTTTATTATCTATTTGATATTTTGTAAATGAATGAATTAATGAATTTTTTATAAGGAAACTCGTGATTTCAAAGTGAGCAATGGCAACACTGTATGGGGGGGGAATTTTATCTCCAGTGCACGAGACTGTGTATCGGAATTCAAAAGATATGCTCATTTTAAAATTATTTTGTGATGTTGCTGTTGAATTAAATTTTATGGTTTAAGTGCATAGAACATGATATTTAATAAGTAAAGGTAACACACAAAACGTTTAAAAAGATGCCTTTTGGGCGTAATATAAAATCTGAAAGCTTTCAGAATTCTCCCTGCCTACTAGGATCTGTAGGGTTACTATGTGGGTTTTGTTCCTATATTCCTACTATGGATACATTCCTATGTCCCTACTATGGGGGGGGGTTGTTATATGGGGTTCTGTTCCGCTTTGCGTTGCTGTCATCATTTATATTTTGCGTGCTTCCCTTTTTATTTCAGAAAGCCTTGACTTCAGTTTATTATGACAAGCAAACGTTATCTATCAGAGGATATATTCGCATGGTAAATAAGCCAGTTAGTGACAGGGATGAAAGTGATGTTTCTAGAGACTCTGACACGGACACCTTGTCAGAGACTAAGATCACCGAGTGTCTGCTTTCCACTTCCTGTGAAAAATTTTGTTACTTGTATATAGTCTTTCTTGTATTTTGTTATAAATTTTAAAGTTTATTTATGTATTTTCTCAATTAAAGAAGCACTTGAAAAAACTTTTCTCTAAGTAAATAATTTTTTTCTTATAAATTTTCATGTAAATGAAAAAGATTATTAAAGCTGATTTTAATGTATATGATAGCTTAAATAATAACCTGAAATGGAAAAATTATTATGCTAGGACTTAAACTTTCTGTGTGTGTGTAATTTCTTTTTCTAAAGTTAGGCTTAGTAATGCAAAACTTCCTTTCTGTGAGACTATTCTCTTCGACTCCCATCCATCCCGCAGAAACTTCTTAAACAAAGGGGCATCCTCTCAAAAGGGTTTAAAAAGAAGCATGGAATGCTGAAAATGTCAGTTGCAAGACTAATCATTAAACTGGAAAGAGAAATAGAATTAGATAATATTAAATTTGATTCATTAGGAGATGACTTATTCGTCTTAAATAAAAATGATATATTAAAATTGGATACTGAAATTGAAGCTGCCATTACAGAGGGAAAAGATTGCAAAATAAAAGAGCTTTATCATGTAATATAAAAATAAGATTATATTGTGCAAATCAAAAGATCAATTGGCTGTTTAGAAATAGAAAATGTGCTAAATTGAATGAGATGCTATCTAATTTGTCTAGTATAAATAAAGTTGAAAGTACAATTACAGTACACTAAAACTTTGGAAATGTGACATGTAAATTTCAAAGTTTTGGGCTCAATATGAATCTTCTATACATAATAACTGCTTTAAAAGCTGTGCACAAATTTAATTACCTCAAATCTTTACTGATGGGCAGAATTTTAATGTCAATTAAAAGCTTACCAGTAGTTGCAAAAATGTTCAAGATCAATTGATCAGTCAATTGCCACATGTTCTATTCAAATACTATAATAAATCTAAAACGATGTATAAAAGAAATTAAGCAAACAAAACAAAAAAGAAAGTTTTTCATAGACGATTCAGTATTTCTCATTCAATTAATTTAGTTCTCTCACTTCAACAAGGCAAAAATACATAAAAACTCAAAATATCTGTATTAAAGATTACGAAGTAAATCTTAAACACTTATTTCCTCGAATACATTTCAGAATGGATTAAACATTATTTAATTCGCAATAATAAAAGAAGGCATTATCTTTGTTGTTGCGAAGCTTAGCTTCTCTAGATTGTCAACAGATATGCTATTTTGCCAAGTTTGAAATGTAAACAAACATGTCCGCCATTGCAAAATTAATTAGGCTTAGCTGCATTTAAACAACTTTTAAATTGTTGATAATTCCTGAATATTGCATGCAGATTTACTAAAGCCATAAAAACCTTAACGGAAGATAAGAACAACATAATTCAATCATTTTTAAAGCAAAAAATGCACAACTTACAAGCATATAAGAGTAAAGAAACTGAGATCACTGAGCCAGTTAACGGAGTGGGTATATTTATATATGTTTGGTGCGGCTGATTGCAATCAAAATATGAGTTGCACATCTACATGTTATAGTAGTCCTATATGCAAATTTTTAACATTCTGAAGCTACTCGTTTTTGAGTTATGCGAGATATGTACGTACGTACAGACGGCATGAAAAATTCTCTTTAGAATTCATTTTAAATAAGTTTTATAATATTTTTGGGGGGAAATAGTCTTTCATTCTGTCCTTACGTACAGATGTCATGCAAAAACGTTAAGTTGCATTCAGTAGCGGTCAAAATGTATATTTTCATTGAAATATGATGGCTGAAACTTTTCACGGTTACAATACTTCTTTTTTACTTCGTAGTGTGGCACAGAAATCATGGGGACTAATATTTTGTAATTTCTGAAGAAAGAAGTTGAGAGCAGAGAACTACATTTTTCTAAGCATTACCCCCAATTATTCTGAGTGTGCTGGAAATGAACAACCAATTATTCTGAGTGTGCTGGAAATGAACAACATAAATATCAGTTGTAAGACCTTTTCTGAAGTGGAAACAAATCACACTGCCTTCAAAAATAAACATTTTGTCCCAGCAGTTGTGTCCTTGAATACAAATACATCAAGAGGCAATTACCTATTTTGCAGGAAGATAGAAACTAAATCTTTGAAACAATCCACTTCAGACTGCCAAATTCCATTTGAAGAAAAAAAGAAAGAAAGAAAAAATTGCTGGCAGATGTTAGTTATGTTTTTGAGAGGCTCATAGGTCAGCCCATTGCAGGTGGGTTATATGCTGTGATTTATGTTCATTAAGGCATGTTACTGTTTTGCATGTTTAAAGGTTGAAAATAAATGGGAAGATAAAAATGAGTTTAAAAAGGACAGGGTGCTATCAATCAATTTTGGGAAGAGATAGCAAAAATAAAGTTTATTTACAAACTGTAAATGCAAAAGCACTTCAGAATGGGAGGGAAAAAATGT